ATATATATATATATATATATATATTGTGTTGATAAAGTGAATTGCGTAATATAATGCGTAATATAACTTAGACTTAATAAACTCCATATATTATATATATATAATATATGGAACTAATTTTTTAATATTTATTTAATCGTATTTTTATACAACTATATATATATATTATAGTTGTATAAAAATACGATAACGCATATTATATGATATATTATATTACGCATTTACAAAAGACTTGTTTTGTACTAGATTGTTTAGTTTATTAAACATACAAAATGAATCGCAACTGAATTTTTTGAATGTATTCATGTTTTTAAAAGTTTTCTCTAATGAACTTCAGTTACATACCAGTCTTATGAATATATTTTACGCAATTACTTGAGAAAATACAAGAGTGAAAAACACTTTTTTGCACGTGAGTGATGCATTATAATGGCAGGAATAATTCTCAAATACTGAAACTTTTAAGTCAATTGAACAACCTTGAATACAGTGAAATATTCCATGTGGTTTTAATTAAGGAACTAATTTTTTAATATTTTACGTACTTGTAGGTCGTATATTCAAATACGGTAGCATTGGAAAGTTAAAAAGTGCTCGGAATGGTCAACTTTGCAATAATTTGCGCCCAAATTCAAATTTTTGTTAATTACTGCTGCTATTAACCACTTATGTAATAAATTTAAGTGCACAATTTTTAGAGTATTTAATTGCAACAAATTTAAAATTATCTTATACTATTCGAATTTTTTTCTCTCTTAATTTCAGGACAAGACACAAAGAAATTCGTCAAGAATACTTTGATTTTGTTGCCCAACTGCTCAATTTATTTTCTTTCTTGGAATATTAATTTTTAATCGAAAGAAAAAAATAAAATATTCAAATATATTGCCTATTTTATGTAACAAATCAGTGATAATTAAAAAACTGCTGGAAATAATTATCACAAAAGTAACGTCTTGTATAATATTTCAATTCAACATTCTATGTCAAACGTATGAAAATATGTGAATTGAGCTATACCGTAAAGTTTAATTACTTAATATACAGAAGCGGTTTTCTCCCAATATTGAGTTAATTTAATGACTTTCAATCCATAAACTTTACTGGAAAAAGTTTCTCAAAAATATTTAATAAAAATGTAACGAAAATATATGCTTATTAAAAAAGAACTTCCTTTGGCAATGATGATTAAAAAAAGAAATTTAGAATCAAAATTATGCAAAATTTCATGATAATTTTTACTACTCACATATCAAATTGAAGTATTATACGTGAATGACGCATTGTAATGGTAAAAGTCTGCAAATTTTTCTCAGGAATCGTCATTCACTATGATAACTATCAAATGTCAAGATTTAGATTTGTGCTTTGAAGTTAGTGATTGCAGCCAAAAAAGAGCTGATAAAAATTTTAAAAAGACTCTTGAAGTGCATTAATATGATAAAGCTTATCGTCTGCAATATATCAGTTCAAATCGAAATTCTACTCTTAACAATGAAATAAACAACTTTAAAAATTAATCTCACAAAAAGAATGAATTCACTGCTCATCGTCTTTCAAAGAATTTATTTGCATAGATGAACAATTAAGGGCAAAAGAGTTAAAGTTCAATCACTTTCTCATCACAGCAAACAAACTTTAGTGTACTCACAAGATTATGAATTTTTTGTTACTATCTTTCTATTGCCAGAAAGTAACTTATTAACAGCCTTATCTTTTGTGCTTCAATCTGAATTAAGCACAAATTCTAGCAAAGACTAATCTTTCAACGATTAAAAATGCGACTGGCTGAATGCAATTGCAATTTGATACTTTTTTGAAAAAAATGCTTCTATCTTATCAGTAATGCAAAGTTATATATAAAAGGATGTGGTAAGCAGCTAAAAGTATTAGTAATTGCATGCTTAACTGTGCTGTTAGTACTATTAGTAAATGATACCAAATATTCACTGAACTTTAAATCCTTAGAAATCGTATTTCGCGCCACTTTCATTATAGTATTCAAAAAATATAAATATGAGCAAGTTTTGAGGCTTCTTTTAGCTCGTATATTAAACCAAAGTGTTACTTTTCATCTAAGCAAGAATTAATCTTTCTCTCAATCATAACTAATGCTTTGAGTTTTTCATACTTTCAAGTGATCAGAACATTAATTTACTGTCACAAAGCTAAAGAAAATAATGAATTTGACGCTAAATTTTCTTAGTGCCTTTGTTGTCACGTACTTTTGAAAATGATTTTAAAGCATATGGCCTTTTAATTTAGGATATAAGTATCAAAATGAAATACGTCTTCATAGTTTCTTACTTCTTTTTCCCCAGTTCTGCTTTTTCTGTGGCAAGTGAATCACGAGATACCGCAATGTGGAATTTGTGTGGCATGTCCGAATGTTACTTGAGTTATAGTGGTATTGCATTCATAGATTATGGTTGCTACTGTGGCTTTGGAGGCTCGGGAATACCTGTCAATGAAATTGATACGTAACACATTCACGTACTTATGAATAATTTAGTTAGATACTGCCATAGAAAATTGGCCGATATTTAACGCAGTACTTGACAGAAATTGTAAACATGGCCTAGAAAAAACATAAGATTGATGATTGAAGACAATATTCTTTGTACACTTCATAATTAATCTTGAAAATACTCAACTTTTAATGATAAAAATGAGTCCTAGTCTCTGAATGATTATAAAACCATACTATTATCTGAGATTATTACCTTTTTCTCCACAGTACATAGTAGTGATGATCGTGAAATTATTAACAATAATAATAGCAATAATAGTGACTACAATAATAATTAAATT